TTTCAGTATTTTAAATTGTGACTAAAAATAAAAGAATCTGTGTATATTTGGTTTTCTATTATTGCTGATTTATAACATATATATTTTTGTAATTTATTATTTGTAAATTATATATATATATATATATTATGTTATACAGTTGAGTAGGTTGTTATATATTTCCTACATATATAAATAAAATCTGCCCAGTCTGCATAATGTTACTAAGATATGTATGGCTTCAGAGCTGGCCGCTTGGTACTAGATGGTCAGTTTGGGAACTGTTCCTTGGGGAAGATGATTTCTCTTGCTCTCAACATTCTTTACTTGCCTATAGTTCTTTGTCAAGGGTGATGCATCTCCGCACTATGTTGGCGTGTCTAATGGTGCCATCCACATTCAGGGTTTGTTTAGGCAGCTGTGTTGTTGACACATCACAGGAGCAGTTTCTCTGACATTCCTAGGAGACAAAATATCACAACAAGCTTCCTGTTCCTCTCACTCTTACATTCTTCCCACCTCCTCTTCTCTACGATCCCTGAGCCTTAGATGTAGGCATTGCCATGTCTGGTACTGGAAACCTGCCAAATACTTGAGGCTACTGAAGTCATGGATCTTTGAGGAGAACCTCCAGGTGCCATTTATTAAACCAACATAATTTCTAAAAGTTGGAAGTAGAACATTCCAACTTTTGTCCTTATTCTCATTTTTATTATTTTATCATTTTATTTATTTTAATCTCAGTTTGGGGATTGGCTGGACAAGTGTGCAAAAGAGCAAGTGAATTTACAATGGCCCAGGCTACAAGAGGATCCTCCTCATGTTATTAGATCAAGTTTATACTGACTACTTTAAAACAGTTCTGTAAGAAGCTATTTATCTGTGTACCAGCAAAACTCCCAAAACTAATCTGTGATGATATTTTATTTATGATTTACTAAAGCTTGCCTGAGGATCCTGAAAGCAAAGTCAGACTTAAGCTATAGTGATCAGGCTATAGCACACACTTTTAATTCCAGGGCTTAGGATTAAAAGGTAGAGGGATCTCTGTCAGTTCAAGACCACACTGACTACACTAAATTGATCCAGTCCTAAAAGAAATAGCTCACACAAAAGTGATCTCAGCACCTGGGATCACAGGGCTTTAATTCCTGTACTAGGGAGATGGAGACTGAAGTGATATGGCTGGTCAGAGAATAGAATATGAGGAGGAGGAAATAGGATCTGAAAGCCTTTTGCCTCTAAGGATTCGTGTAGACAGGATTGCCATTTCAGCTTGGTAGAGGTAAGATCTACTGCCTTGGCTTCTTCTCTTCTCTGATCTTCAGCTTGAAGCTTGAACCCCATATCTGTCTCTGCATCTTTTACATATCGTGATTAGTGTAATCCATGCAAATTATATTTATTGGATATTAGCAAACTGGGTATAACCAAAGATCCAAAGAGGTATATAAATAGGATAATGTATCAACATATATTTCATGTCATAAAATTCTTAATTTAAATTCATCATAACAGTACACAAAGCAACAGTTATAATAGGCTATGATGACCTGTATAACTACAATTTACAAAATCTAGTGTGACTAGCACTTTGGCAGAATCACCACTGACAAGCTGCTTAGAGAAAAGAGGGTGAGAGCAACAACTGTAGGAGATTTTTCAGGCAGAGAGAATAGTATGTATTAAGGCACAACACTAAAGCAAAGTCAGAACAAAACACACACATTGAGCATGCTGCATTTTACAACTGGGAATGGAAGAGAACTTCCTAGGAAGCATGTTGATTGGGAAATGAAAAACAACTAGTTCATGAAAGAAAATAAAAGAAGAGAAAAAGGAGAATATTCAGGGAAGAATTCTGAACAAGAATAGTCAGAAAAGGGGGTAGGTAGGGTGAGGGCAGGAAAAGAAATGAAAGCTTTTAAAAGCAAGATTGACTCTACCACCTAAGAAAGTGAGGCAATGTCAGTGGCCAATGATAAGCACTGAAGCTTTGCATTTGCAACTTCCAAAACTTAATTGTTCTGCATCCACTAATTTTACCCAGCACATCAGCTCATTTAGGAACATAACCTTAGGGTAGATTTTACTACTAATGTAGCTTGAGGTTATAAGGAACTAGCATAAAACACAAATGTTAGCACATTAATATTTTCTTGCACTTTAATGGCTGCATTCTGAAAACTTTTAGGTAGATTTATTACAGTAGGCTTTCCAGAGTAGTATAATTTCATTGCTCGAGGTAGATCAGATTTTAGTTTCTGAATGTCAATTATATCTTGTAGGTTATTACTTTCAGAAGATCTTGAGAATTCTGGACTGCAACTGGTTATGTTTTAAATCAGTTTTTTTTCAGAGCCCCTCATACCTCTTCTAAGCCACTGCAAAGAACCAAAAGTAAAACAGAAAGACAGGAACACAAAAAGAATATCATTATTAAGATGTATCTGTTAGAATAAAGCAAATGCCAAAGAAAGGTCAGTAGACACTAAATAATGACTTCACCTAAAATGAATATTTATGACTGGTATGCATGCCAGAGTAACTTAGGAATGTGTATTCCTTTATATACTGAGAATATTAATAAGCTTCTTACAAGGTAGAGGTTGTGGGTTCTTGTTTTGGTTTGCTCTCTCTCTGTCTCTCTCTCTGTCTCTCTGTCTCTCTGTCTCTCTGTCGTGTGTGTGTGTGTGTGTGTGTGTGTGTGTGTGTGTGTGTGTATTGGGGGCACAACAGCTGATTCATCTTAAAAGTGATTGTTTTTCTTCCTCAAACATACTTGTGAGGTTTTCCTTAAGAGCTGTTAACATTTCCCAATAGAAACCCATCCAGTATAGCAGCATCCCAGGAGTGAAATATGTAGATTACAAATATGAGTGAATGGGGGACAATTAGACTGTCTGTTGTGAAGATTGTTCACAGCCTGTTTTCCTTCAATAAAAATGAAAAGACCAAATCTCATGTATAAAGAGGGAAGGACCTCTCAAACTAGCCTCTAACACCATACCCCATTAGAAGACAGAAGACTCACAAATCTTGATTGTGCTACCATGCACAAATCCCCCCATATTCCATCTATACTGAATTTATTTCAAATAATGAATTCCACACTTTCCTTTGCAGATTCACACTGTTCTATAGATGAGTTGTTTTCACAAGTAGCAAGGTATTTTTAACATCAGTTCAAAATAATTTGACTCAAAGTAAACATCCTCACACACAAATAAAGCAGGTGATAGGAAGTTCATATAAACTTTTTTTTATTATTTTGATGGGTAGCTCTCATTATGAAGTAGAATGCTAATGCCCATATTATCATGAAGAAAGTTCCACCTGCATCACTTTTATTCACTTTTGTAGGCACTGTTGTTAAATAAATCAAACCACAGTAGTCACAAAAATACTCTTACCAGCCTTAGGTTGAAGAAAATTAAAACATAAGTGATTAATGTACATATATGTTTAGTTTAATACACCATAGCACTCAAATTGTGACAGTCAAATTATCATCACATGTTGTGAAATCTGGTGACAGCATTTATAGACAATACAAAAGCTGGGTCATCCTTGACAATGTTTCTCCTACAATATCCAGCCAGGGGACAACTGGGTCTCTCTAGCAGAAAGGTCTGGCAAGCTCCATACTGAGGAGAATTAGTAGCGGAGAACTAACACCTTTGTTCATCCACCTGATCAGGATTTCAGGTAGCTCTAAATTGTGTTCAGCTCATTCAAAATCAGCTTTGATCAGAGTATAACAGGATGGAGCCTGTGAGGAAGTGATCCATGTATATCTTAGACAGCAGCTAAAATTATTCCTCATTGGCTGCTCATCGTCAGTTGCATAAGAACAAATGGATTGCTTTCTCAGTTCAAAGGAAAACTAAAGGAGAGTTTTAAGTCCAGTAACCTAGGGGTCCTCTTACTGGGTACAGGTTAAGCATGGTCTGGATTATTGAAACCAAAACAATGTGAAAGAGTAAATCATGCTCAAGATGATTTACATCAGAGAAAATTTGAACAGGTGTTCTGTAGGAAGTACATTAATGAAATCTGGGTAACAGTAGAGAGACTCAGGTTGCCAAGAAAGAGAGGCCAGACTGTGACCCTGTGGGAAGTGGTACAAAAGCAGAAAGGATTGGTGCTTATAAAAGATAGTTGGAAGGAAAAAACAGTTGAGCTGGAAAGTGTAGAAAGCTTTATAAACTCACACTTTCCCATTCTCTACCAAGAAATGAGAATAAAAAGGTCACATTCCTCCTAAGTAGAATGTAGATTCACTATGCTTGTAGCTCTCTATCTATAGTTTTAATAATAAGCACACGTTAGTCATTGCTTTATCTTGAAAATGCAAAGAAAGACTTTGCTTATGATACCAATTCCCTCTTGTTACAGAAAGTGACTATCACAGTACATCAAAGTTTAATGGTACACCTCTCCTGTCCATCACTTTTGAAATAACAGGTGGGTGATACTATTGTATGTCACTTTTCCATCAGAACTACACATCAGAGTATCAAGAGCCTGGGAGAGACTTCACACCTCACTGATGAGATGCTTAGCCATCTCAGAAAACACTGTACTTTCACTCTTAGGCTGCTAAATGTGTATCAAGCTATCCCATGGCATGTAAATGATCTCATTTTTTTGAGATTTAATACAATACCATCATAGGTATAGATTACAGAAAATAGCAATTACTGACTTCAGCAGGTATTATTATACCTTATACATAATAACCGTGCAAACAGTTACATAAAATGTGGTAATAAACACTTTTACTGAAAGAAATTAAGCACTTTCCATAATTTTTCACATGCCTAAAAATATTCCATTTTGTGCTTGACTCAAATGAAACCGAAGTAAAAGGCATGGTGTCTGCATTTTGGAAATACAGCCTGTACTGTAGATGAAAAGCACTATAGTTGTAGGATAATTACTACACAAGAAAACACTGAAGGAATCAGATCTTTCTTACCAGGGAATTCTCTGGAGAGAACAGAAAGAGGATTGACACCCTCTTCACTTTCCTCCTGATCTGGAGATGTTAAAAGGTTTCAGCCAATGGGATAAATGCTAATGAGAACTCACCTGCTGGGAATTATATTAAGGTGGTTAGTGTTATACCCAGAGGTGACTTCTGAGACTTTTTATAGGAGGAGGAGCCTACCCATAAGATCTCAGGAAGTATTCAAACCAAAATACAATCAAGGAAAACTGTATTGTATTCACATGCGAACAATGCTATAAAATTATTCAATCCATTTGAAATTTGTCTGAAAAATTACTAAAACTCTCTATCATAAACAGAGACCATACTTACTCTGCCCTTCACCTATGAAGGAGAAATTAATAGAACCTTGGAATTTGAATAGAGAGTTTAGAGCAAAGGATGAGGCAATATTAATGTACTTTGACAAGTTTGGTCACTTAAAATTCTTCTTTATCTTAAAAGTATTTGAACATTTTAAAACACTTTTATTCTCTCTTTTTGAGCTAAGTAGCTAGCTTAACTGTTGTTCGTACTTTTCGTCCTTAAGGCTACTTTCAAAGGAGCCTGAGCCAGAACTCAAGAAAGGCTGGGTTTTGCTTCTACTTTTCCTTGTATTTGTCTCCATGTTATTTAATTTTATTTTTCTGAATATTCATATGTAAAAGCAGCTCTCCCATTCCATTTTCATCAAGATGACAGACTACATTATCTCAATATCATTCTTTCAAAATCACTCAGGCACCCAAGATGTAATATTATCTTAATGCTTTTAAGGGCAGAAGAGAACCCTTGACTAAGGAATTCCCAGAACAAACCAGTAAAGTATGCTGATGCTTTCTTTCTGTGGTTGCCCTGAACAGTGCAGGTTGAGGGTTATGCATTACTGTAACTTAGGAGCAGTGTAACAAATAAGAGGCAGGACACAGAAATAGTAAATTGCTGTGTCATCTAATGAGGTTAGGGCTCTGAGTGCTTTGGGACTCCTGGCTTCTCTTTCAGGGAGCCAACAGCATAGCAGGTCAGCTTGAGTTGACAAAATGAGCCTCTCCAAAGACACTCAGCCATAGGTCTGTATTCAAACTAAGCTTGTTTTACTTTCAAATTTATGATTACATTGGGAGACCTAAGGGCATAAAAACTTGGGAAATAATATAACAAATGGTACCAGACTAATGGTACCACCTGGGGAAAAAAGGCAAAGATAAAATCACTAAAGGGAATACCCAAAGTGAAAAAAAGGACTTTCACAGTGCATTGCATCAACAAAAACTGCAAATTTCTATTTCTGTGAAGAATACTACCGGTGTTAAAATGATATTGAATCTGTTAAATATTTTTAGAAAAATGATCATTTTCACAATGGTAATTCTGCCAATTCATGAGCATGGGAGGTCTTTCCATCTTCTAGTATCTTCATCTCTTTTCTCAGAGATTTAAAGCTTTTGTTGTATAAGTCTTTCATCCATTGGTTACACTTAATTCCTAGTTTTTGGGTTTATTTTTTTAGCTATTGTAAATGGAAGTGTTTCTGTGATCTCTTTTTTGTTATTGGTATATAAGTTGATTTTGTGTTCTGCCATTGCTAAATGTGTTGATCATTTCTAGAACATTTCTGGTAGAATTTTGGGGAGAGAGTTTTGCATAGTATGTATAATACCGTGTCTGCAAGTAGGTAAAATATGGCTTATTCTTTTCCTATTTGTATCCCTTAATTTCCTTCTGTTGTCTTACATTTTAGGGTTTCAAGCACTTTGTAGAAAAAGAGTTGGGTAGTGGACATCCTTGTCCTCCTGCTTTTAATGGTACTCTTTCAAGTTTTCCTTCATTTAAGATGATGTTTCTTTTGTGGTTTTCATGTGTATCCTTCATGATGATGATATATGTTTCCTCTAATCCTATTCTCCTAGGGCTTTAGTCATGAAAGTATGTTCGATTTTTGACAAAGGCCTTTCCTGCATCTATTTAAATGTTTATGTGATTTTTTATCTTTAACTTCATTTTATTTTTCATGACATAATAAACTTTTGTATGTCAAACGATCCCAGGATTTACTAGGTAAAGTCAACTTTATATGATATTTATATGTATGCTGGTATTCAGTTTGAAGTATTTTATTGAGAATTTTTGCATCTATGCTCATCAGGGATATTGTCCTATAATTACCTTTGTTGTTGCTGTGCTTTTACATGGCTTTGGCATAAAAATAATAGTAGCTTCATAGAAGAAGATTGAAAGTGATTATTTCTTTCTATTTTATGGAATAATTTGAAAAGTATTGGTTGGTTGGGAGCCTGGATTATTGATACCATGTATTAATACTGCTGCAAAATAGACTAAGAGATTAAATGTTATATTTAATTATGTAGTTAATGATACCATGTTTGTTTAGAAAGTCCAGCTGAAAAGTTTATTGTATTAAGGAAATAATATAACTAGAAGAATGAATGAATGACTGGATCAATTCAATGATGTTTGATATAAACTGTTGTTTAATAATCATAATTACCCAGAATTCTCTACAGAATCTCTATACTGCACAATTATATTTACAAACAAGACTCAATAGAATTTAGTTATGATTAGTTATTGCCAAACTGCTATAGTTTAAGGGTACAACCAAGTGATTAACACTTTGAAAATTAAAGGAATGGAACACAAAATATCATAGTCCTCTCTATCATTTACTTTTTCTTCCTTCAATTTACTGATAGAAAATATAAATAGAATTGACCAAAAATATTTTCCAGAAGAGTAAAGAAAATAATTATTTATAAATGTTTCTTGAACAAAGCTTCATGTGATAAGCTAAAAAAAAATATATGGACAGTATTATGATAAAAGGATAATAGGTGATGATTTTATGAAATGTTAAGAAGCTAGAAAAATAATTTTTTCCAACAACATGAGTTCATGGCAATATTTACAAATATCTAAATTTAATCCCCAAGCATCTACTATAAAATAATAGTACTAACATTTACAAAACAGATCATATTAACCAAGGCCCAAGCTACTTATTTGCACTTGGGAGACTGTATGCCTCTTCAAGAAGAAGCAGGTAAAATCAAGTGCTTGACAGTGAACTCATTCTGTGTCTGCGCTCTCAAGAGTTACTCTCCTACACACACATGCAGTCTACTTGGTGCTGCATTTGCTCAGTGCATCACAGTTGAACAATAGTGCAGTTACATCAAAAATTCATATGCTGAAGATAGAACTTTTCATAAATAGCCTTGATCCTTGTTATCAGAAATCTTAAAACCTGATAGTATTGTATTTGCCGCTTTTTTGAAGTTCAGAACTGACATGGGACAGACAGGAAATGCCTATGAACATGCCGGTTTAGGACTATCCACTTCCGCTCTGAGTGTGCTATACTGCAGTCTAGCCTTCAGAAAGATGTCCCATACTAGTTCATTTTTTATCATTGTGATAAAATACCCTTACAACAACAGCTTAAGACAGAAAGGATTTATTCTACCTTACAGTTTAAGGGAGGTCCAACATTGTCAGGAAAACCTGGCAGTTGAAGCATGAGCCTGCTGAACGTATGTGTCCAGTCAGGAAGTCTAGAGAAATGACTGCTGTTGTTCAATGTGCCTTCTATTTTTTATTCACTATAGAACCCTAGTCCATGAAATAGTACCATGGAGTGTTAGGGTGGGTCTTACCAAGTCAGCCTAATCTAAACAATCCCCACAGAGAATCTAAACTATCTACACAATAACTCAAAAACCAAACTTACCACCCTGAATGCGCCCGATCTCGTCTGATCTCGAAAGCTAAGCAGGTCCGGGCCTAGTTAGTACTTGGATGGGAGACACTGGCCCAACTTCTATATCTAACTAGTGTTGTTGGCTTTGTATTCTGATCTCCAGGCAAGCTTTATTAAATCATAAACAATTTATCACCACAGTTACCCAGTGAGGTTGTGATTCTATAGGTCAGAAATAGCCACGTTTTGTGTCTTGGAAGATGGTCACCATACTATGGAACTATCTCTAGAAACCTAGTTGCTAAGCATTGAGAGGGACTGAGATTGTAGAGACCTGACTCCCAAAGCTGACACATTTTAAAATGATTTTCTAATTAAAGAAGACAATGAATGAACCATTCCAAACATAAGCCACTCATGGTTCACTATCAGAGTTGGAGAAGTCCAGCATGTGAAGGGCCTTAAACTTGAAACTTCTTATATGCTTTTCAGTTAATCTTTCTTTAATTCTAGCACTGCTATTTGCCTTTATATATGGAGAAAGAGAATCACCATTTTAGGATGAGAAATAGAAGGGCAAGTACGTATGTCCAAAAAAGCCTTGATTCCATAGTTTTTACAATAATACACATGGGAGAAAAGGGGAATGAACAGAAGTCGCTACTTGTCCTCAGAGATAAAGTTGTCTTATCTATACTCAGAGTCCTGTTTTAGGTCACTTGGCTGCACATCTGTAAAATCCTGTTCTATCTTTCT